AGATTCTTTTAATTTGTATGCTATGTTTTATCGTTTCTGATATTTATTTTTCTTAAAATTGTCTTTTTTATTTTTCGTTTTTTTAATTTTTAACATTTATTTTTTTTAACTTCTTTTAAATGATTTTTCTTTTTTCAGTTATTCTATATGAGAATCTTTCTATGTATTTATTTATTTTGGATTTAGTTTTTATTCATTTATTTATTTCTTATATCTTTTTTTAGCGGAAAAGTATTGTTTTATAAACATCTAGAAAAATATTACTAATAGATTATAGAATTAGATTGAGAAAATGCCGCCTGGTCGTGTAAAAAGATCTAAAAAAACTGTGGCTCACCGCAGCGTTCGTATCAAAAAAGAGGATGACGATGATTTTTCCTTTTCTGATGATGAAAACCTAAATCATGAACAAAAGGAGTCTTTGACACCCCTGCATGATAATGGCGTCTGTGACACACCTGTACTGACATTTGATGGAATTGACAATAATAGGTTTGAATGCTCTGAGGATGGCATCAATTGTAAGACTGGTAATGATCAAGACAATCTTTCTCTATCGGGTTGCAAGCGAGACAAAAGTGCAACAGTTTCTCCTCACCGTTTGTTAATTGACGAAGATGATGATTGCCAGGGGGTTAAAACTGGAATAAGCCTTGATAGGATTGAACAGAACGAAGGTGCTTCGCTTCAGCTGCCTACCACGGTGTCACACGGCGATTCTTTACGCACTCGATTTGTTATTTCTTATATAGAAGTTGAAAACTTCAAATCTTACTATGGTCAACACCGCATCGGACCATTCCACAAGACGTTCAGTGCTGTTATCGGGCCCAATGGTTCTGGTAAATCTAACGTCATTGACTCCATGTTATTTGTCTTTGGTCGAAACGCGCGAAAAATCCGTTTAGAAAAACTTTCTGAGGTTATTCATAACTCCGCTGCACACCCTGATGTCAGCTACGCCTCGGTCACTGTGCGTTTTGTTCGTCTGAAAGAAACGCTTGCAGAAACCACAGATCCGATCCAGCTTGAGGAGGTTCCAGGTAGTGAGCTTCGCATTACACGAGAGGTCTTTCGCAGTGGCATCTCTCATTACTATATCAACGGTATCCGTAACTCACAAAAAATTGTCATGGACTGTTTGATCCAAAATGGAGTTGATCTTGAGCACAACCGGTTCTTAATCTTGCAAGGGGAAGTTGAACAGATTGCACTGATGAAACCCAAAGCAGAGAAAGATGGTGAAGAGGGTTTATTGGAGTATTTAGACGATCTTATTGGGACTAGTGATTTTATCGAACGCATTTCAGCTGCCACCAGATCAGCTGAAGATGCACAGATCGAACGCCTTGATGCTCTCGATAAAGAACACAAGTTTAGGACTGAGCGCGAGGCCCTGGACGATGCCAAGAATTCTACTATGGCCTTCGTTATTAAAGATAACCAGCTGCAAAAGACCCTGATTGTGATGTGCCAGCTTCGTATGCGTGGTATTGAGGAAAGACTAGCCGAACCACGCCGTTTGCTGGAGGAGATTGACACCCGCATTGTTACTTTGCAGGAAAATGTCAACGCTCGACGTGAGGCCAAACTGAAGGTGGAAGAAGAGATTTCTCAACACAAGAAAAAAGTGACTGAAGTCCTCAAGGAGAGAGACGCAATGCGCACGAAGAAACAAAATGCTGATGTTCTTCTTGAGAAACTCAAGTCCAGCGCACAGGACCAAGAACGAAACCAACTAAAGGTTGTTGAGCAAATAGAAAAGTTACGAAATAACGTGCAGGAGGCTCAGACGCTTCAGCAAGATGCGGAGCGTGAGGCTGCTATCCACCAGCAAAATCATGATGAAGCTACGCAAGATATGAATAGACTACAAACTTCACACGATGAGCTCTCTCTCAAACTGCTGCCTAAGTTACGGCCTCTGCGTCAGGAACTCGACGAAAAAAAGAAGCTCTTTGCGCCATACGATCGGGCTGTCACCGAAGCGGCTGAGGAACTTAACTCCGCTCAGCAACGTATGAGTTCTCTCGACGAACTGAAGCGTGAAAAGCTCGAAGAGCTACAGAAAACCGAGCATTCGGCCTCTCAGCACAGCGTCCGAATCGAAGAACTAAATCGCATCCTTTCTGAAGCTGAAGACAATGAGCACAGAGACGAGCTCCTAAAGATGCAGGACCTGCTGACCGAGGCCACCCAACGCAAATACACTATTAACAGCCTCATTAACGACTTGAAGAATTCATACCGCGAGGGTGAGGCGGATGATCGAGCGATGGAATTCTTGCTTTCCCAGAGAAACCTCAAGGGCTACTACGGCACCCTACGTCAGTTGGGTCGCATTGACGACGCCTACGACGTCGCCGCTGGGGTTGCCAGCAACGCCTGGGGCTTCCACGTTGTGGAGGATCGCGCCACGGCGACGGCGGCACTGGATGCACTCAAACGAAATAACATGGGCCGTGCTACCATGATGGTGATCAGTGAGGTAACCCGTGAGGTTTCGGGGCGGATGCAGCGTCCGTTTACCTGCCCCAACCTCAAAGCAAAGCGGCTTTTTGACCTGATTAAGCCCACAAATGAAAAGTTTCGGTCAGTTTTTTATCAGGCCGTACGCGACACAATTGTGGTGCAGACGCTCGCTGAGGCACGCGAGACCGCCTTTAAGAGCAATCAACGCGCGGGCGTAAATAATTCACAATCACAGCGACGGTTTCGAGTCGTTACGCTGAAAGGGGAGCTAGTCGAACCGTCAGGCGTCATTACTGGAGGAGGTAATGCCCCACGTGGTGCCAAGCTCAAAGCCGCCCGCTCACCCCAGGACAAGCTTATCGTCAAAGAGGAGCTACAGAGACTCCAGCAGGAGCTGCTCCAGGCGGCGGAGGAAGAACGCGCCGCGCAGCTTCGCCTGCATCAGCTGCGCGAAGCCCAAAGTCGGTTGTCGCTGGAGCAGGTGAATCGCCTGAAAGCCGAACATCGCACACTATCGGTTACTACCGACCACGAGCTCACGCATATCCAGACACTCAAACAGGAGTACCACCACGTCTGTAAGGAGGAAAAGGAAAAGCACGTGACCCTTCAGAATGCGGTTGATTTGTGCCAGAAGCAGCTCCTCCGGGCGAAACAAGCACGTGAGGAGCATCATCATGATATTGAGACGCTCGAAGCGAGGATCGAGAAAGAGGGTGGAGAGACCTTTAGAGAACTAACGGACGCGTTAAAGAAGATGCGGGATACTCAAGAAGCCGAGGAGGTGGCGCTTCGAGAGTGCCGTCGGCGAATTCAAAAACTACGTGTGAAGCAAGATCGTGCACAACGCGATATAGTGGAACGTGAAAAACGTCTCATAGAGCTTGAAGCCGAAGACGAGAGTGAATTAAAGGAAAAGATTGCGGAATGTACAGCACAGGTTAGGGAGCTCGAGGGCCAACTCCATACTGCTGAAGAATCCTTAGCCAAGGCACAGGCTTCCAGCAACAACGCCAAAGCCGCGTTGCTGGAAGCAAACAGCGCCATCCCTGAAGCTCAGGCGAAGCTGGAGGATGAAAAGAGGTACCGAAGAACACAGTCTGCAAAGATGGCGGACGCGCTGCAGGAGCTAGCAAAATTTTCCCAGAAAATCGAAGGATGTGAGGAAAAGATCAAAGAAAACGCCGAGCTCTACGGAATTGAGACCTTGCAGTTGGAAGGCGTTAGGAACGAAAACGATACTGGTAACGACAACACTCCACCCTATAATGAGCAAGATGAGGAAACTGATGACGGTAACCAACAAGCTGCTCGTCCCAAGAAAAAGAAGCCCTGGAAACAAAGACGTGCAACTCGAGAAGACGCTAACAACAATGACAGTGAAGACGATAACGATGGACGAAATAATGATGCACCTGCTGTTGGTATGGACTCAGATGTGTCTCACATCACTATGGAACAGGTGAAGAAAATGTCCTTCAGACTCCAACCTGAGGAGCTTGATCGCTGCGACTATGAGCGATCCGTGCATCTTGCCAAGACGCTAAGTGAGGAAACGAAGCGGCTCCACAGCGAAATTGACTTTCGTGCTGTGTCCCTATGGCGGGAACGAGATGTAGCTCATCGCGAAGCCTTGGCTGTGTACGAAACGAAGAAGCACAACTCAGACAGTCTTGAAAAGGAGTTGAATGAACTAAAACGTGTCCGCTACAAAGCTTTTATGGAGGTCTTCGAGAATATTCGAAAGAAGCTGAAGGAAGTGTACCAGTGTCTTACCCATGGTGGCGATGCGGATATGGAACTTATGGACATTAACGACCCTTTTTCAGGCATTTTGTTCGTTGTACGACCACCTAAGAAGTCCTGGAAGCAGATCTCTAATCTATCGGGCGGTGAGAAAACCCTCGCAAGTCTTGCCCTGATTTTCGCTCTCCATGACGTCAAGCCCACACCGATTTATGTTATGGATGAGATTGACGCTGCACTCGACTTTAGAAACGTCTCCATTGTGGCGAACTACGTGCTGCGCCAGGCTACAGACGCGCAGTTCATTATCATCTCGTTGCGTAGCAACATGTTTGAGTTAGCCCACCAACTCGTAGGGGTGTGCAAAGTGAAGGATGTAACAGCTTCGTTTGTCTTTATGCCTCGCCGCTTTGAGCGTGTCGTGTACGACGCACTGCTCGCGAAACAAACGCAGCAGCGATCACACCAGCTGAGCCAACAAAGTGGCCGAACCAAATCGACACGCAAGACCAACACTCCTGTCCATAATGGTCTTCCTACAAGACGCAGCACTCAAGAGGAAAGCAATAAACTCGCCAATCAGGACAGGATAGACGTGATGTCGAATTCAAGGAAAACTCAACGGCTTGAAGGTGCTACGAACTTACCACAAGATAACCTAATTCATAGTGTCGACCCCACACAATGCATGAAGGAGGATCCCGAAAGACAGCCTCATCGGAAAAGCGTGCGCTTTAGCGATGAGTACGAAAAATAAAAAGTGCTCAAATAAAATAGCGAAACGCTTATTCAATGAAAAAACTGACATTTCTTTAGGAATTCTATTATTGCAGAGAAATAACATTTCCCTTTTCTCGTATTTAGAAATTTTCTGCTTGTTTTTTTTAATCCTACGGATACCCTTTAATTTTAATGAATTAATTCACACTTTTAGGTACGTAACTTTTTCAAACAGAATAATGAAATAAGAATGAACGAATCCATTGGGAGTTGACTTGGCGAGTGTATGTTTATTTTTGAATAAAAAAACATAAAATAGTCTATCTTTCTTTCCTTAATATATCATAAGTCACTCTTCGTTTGTTTGCCGCACCGCTTTCACCAGTCGGTGGACGTTATTCTTGTATACAGTTATGTATGAATTTTAAAATTCATTGGACAAGCGAGCCGACTAAAATTAACTGAAAAACGGCACTTAAAAGTACACTGAACATAATTAATGTTTAACTTCCTTATTTCTTCATTGGTATTTCCCTTGATCACCTCCCTTAGGAAGGTTCATCTTTGGAGCAATATATTGAAAAGGAATATCATTTAAAAATGTCAAACAGACTAACTTTTCAAGGTGTAATTCATATGTCGCTAATTTTAATTTTACTTGTTATGATATCAGGAAGTTCGATTCTTGCTAATCGCTGCGTAGCCAAGGACACGATGACTGTATGGAAACATGATAAGGGCTTATTTCGAAAACCGAAGCATTCCAATATATGGTTAGAGTACAATTCGAATTATGAATTGGTCGCCACTTTTAAGGAAATTAGTCGTTCGCCAGAAGGAATTATCATGCATGACGACGAACGGGGCCTAAGCATTTTGCTTCGTTCTGATGTCAGTGGGATCAAAACTGAAGAGGAAGCTAATTTTCAGCAGCTATATCACGGAAGCTTTACTAAGGTTGCAGATTGTTCAGAAGAAGGTTAAGCACACCAAAAGGTATATAGTGATATATTATATATTTATGGCTGCATATTAGCCAATGATATGATGAATTCAACTGAAAAGCTAACTTCTTGAGGTTTCCAACTATAATCAAAAGCAAAATAAAAATCTCTCTGAAAATTTGTATTATTTTCTGTTTATTCTTGAACAGGTGAAGGGGAGGAGATTCGAGAGGCTGAAGAAAGGAAACTCATATAAAAGCTAATACAGAAACGGATATGCTTAGTCGCAGATCCGGTCGCCTCCACAGGCACAGCAATTATACATTGTTTTATCATTCTCAACTTTCCCCCATGCGCCATGGATTCTTTGATAGTTTCGCCAAATTGTCTAAAGGAACAGGCGGTGGCCAAACGGAAAAGGGCGAAACACATCGTAGCGACCGTACAAGTAGCATTCCAAACGACGGGTTTCCTCCAGGACTCAGTGCAGAAAATTTGCGTAGCATAAAGGAATTATTCAACAAACAAACCCCTGAAAAACAGAAGCAGCTCATGGAACAAGCACTCGAATTCCAAAAAAAAATGGGCAAAATACCGGGCTTTCGAAAGATTTCAGAGCAGGGTGTGCAGACGATGGAGGCGTTCCTTAAACAACAATCTGTAGGCGGTAGTGGTAGTCCTTCACCAGGTGGCATTTTTCCTTCAGAAGAGGTTAACTCTGTGCAGGGACAGTTTTCAAATCAGCGACATGGCACTATCATGAAGTCGTCCCCTGCAGTGATTAGCGGGAATGGAGGGTTAACTCTGGATGAGCTGAAGAAAGTCAATCTCGGACCTGAAATAGAGGCCCTATTTGAGGAACTTCGCTCCATTCGTGAAAAAAAAAATCATTATCGAGAGCTTTACAACAAAACCAAGGCTATGTTAGAGACAGAATCAAAAGAAAAGAACGAGCTTGCTTCGTCACTAAACAGAGTTCATGGAAGGCTAAAACGGGCTGAGCATGAGGTCCTTCTCCTAAACTCGGAATGTATGGATTCAAAACAAGTGGCCTCACAGGTGAAGTCCCTGATTGCTCAGAACCGCCGCCTTTCCGATGAACTAAACGAAAGAAAGGCGGCGGTGGCATCCTCCGCCGACCCATCTCACGCGGACTTACAGCGGCGGTTGAAGGCTAAGGAGGCGGCACTGCATTCGCTCCAGCGCAAAGTCGAGCGTATGCGGCGGCGCGATCCCATTCTAGGCTTCTCCATCCTCTGCAGCGACGTCGCCCGTTTCTGTGACACAGCGCGTGACCCATTAAAGGGCCTTGCCGATGAAGCCTTTGAGGTCCTACAGACCAACTATCTGAGGCAGCAGCAAGCGGTTTGGGCCGCGGCCGCAGGAAACGACAACGGTGCCGCCGCCAAGGCGTTTGTGGCGGTGGTGAAGAGATTTTTTAGCTCCCGTCTCCCTCACTATAATTACGACGCTATGATGACAGTAGAGGGTGACGTTCAGGCGCTGAAGGATATTGTGAATGGCCTGGGCTTTCTTATATCACCCGTGGCGGGCAAAGATGGGCGGTGGATGTTGGCCTCACAAGCAGACGCAACGCCACTGACAACGTCACTGGGACCTTATGCCTATGCATTTACCCTCTGGTATTTATCGACAACTAGAATTAGTAATAGTAGTAGTAGCAATAATAATGATAGCAACCCTAATAGGAATCCAAAAGATAGCGATTACACTAGTAGCACTAACGGGCTAGTCTCCCTCCCCTTCGCGGCGTTGCCGTACACTGTGACCCATGTTGTGCCGTACGTCTCGTCAACGCTTGTGGAAAATCAAAATCGCATCTCGATTGAGTATGAAACTGCGCGTTCAAGTGGACCTGGTGGGCAGGCCACTAACACCACGGAAACGCAAATTCATGGTAAGCTTTTCATCGATGGGGCGACGGCCTTCAGTGCACAAGCACAAGACTCCCGCAGTGCTCTGCAGAACAAGGAATCGGCAACAGCAAAACTCATGGCAAAACGTCGACAACAATATAACGAGAATCTTTCTAAGCAACATCATGCCGAAGAAATGGAAAAGAATATGCTAACTGTAATGTCAGCTGTGAGCATCGGGACGTTCGCGACAGCGGCTGTGGAGATCTTCGCTACAGAGAGTGTGCAAAGAGCCGCTGAGGCTGAATTCATTCCCAAGGCAGAAATCGCACTTGTCAGATGTTTCTTACTTTTAAAAAAAAAGCTCAAGGGTAACAAAGCATCTGGATAGTGATAGCGAAAAAGTGAGATTATCTGTGAAAAAGAATATAAAAAAGGTGGAATTGAAATTATGTCTCGCAATTTGAAAGAGAAAGTATCAGATTGTTTTTATGATACTTAGCTTTTACTTCAATCTGTGATACTGTAGACGACTTTTATTCTTTACTCGATTCTAATTAATATTAATTCCTTATTATTTATCGATGAGTTTCCTTTTCAGGATTTCCAGGAAAGGGAAGAACAAATACGCAAATCAAAGTTAGGGGCTATCTATCTATTATTTCACCATTGTTTTACTTCGGTGTTCATTCCAAAGAACAGAATATACAAGTCCTAAACGTGTTAAAAGCATTATATATATACACACACACACAAAAGCATAAATATATATATGTAAATATATATTTTCCTCACCTTGTACAAACAATTAACAAAAATATAAATCGTCTCTAAGAATCCTTTTACTTCAGCAGTAGTGGTTCTTTTTTTCCAACCTCCACGGCCATTCATACACTAAAGAATTTATCAAAACTAAGTAGCGACGTGAAAAAAAAACACCAAGCTTGTAAGGGAAGCAGTTTCCCTGGGGTCTTGCAGTTTTATTAAGAGGTAAAGAAGGGATCGAACAAGGTGATATTTTTCTCTTTATGATTCCTTCTCTAATGGACGGACAAGGAGAGGAACAAAGACAACGCGCGCGCCTACTTCAACGTAAAGGGCTTTCACTCATGCGTCTTACGAATCCCCGACTCTCCGAAAGTGATTCCAAAGCGGTTATGTTGATTGTTGCCATTCTTCTCAAAATTCCGACAATAATTGATACTGATGTCAATACCATGGAATCAAGGTTGCGTATGATGTCTGAACCGACTCAAGACAGCCAAACGTCATCTCTGCGGTGCAACTCGCCTAGAAAATGCAGTACCAAGTTATCTGCATCTAATTTGAGGGACTCCATTTATGATTGCCACCCCGTCATCTCCGATTCATCAACACATGAAAACTCCACCATTGAGCTTACCATTCCAGTCCTTTCACACCTTTGGCCTGGGTTATTAGAGAAAAAAATTGCGTCAGCTTGCTTGCAGTGCTTCAATAGCAAAAGCAACAATTCTATGGAAAATCCAAGCCATAACAAGACAGACAATGAAAGTTAATGTGGAGTATATGGATACACTTATATAGCCAAGTAATGAAACGACTTGAGGAGGGGAAAGCGAACTCCAGAGAGGGGACAGTTACGTCTTCTTTTATTACTAAAGATCTTCGATATTTTCCCATGGGAATACAGATTTTACACAGCAACTGCTACCACGGGTGCTCACACTATATACATGTATATAAACCAAAAAAAAAGTGGTTTAACATAGTGTACATCTATCATGTGTTTACCATTTTTGTGTCAAAAAACCTTAAAATATTTAAAAAAACAATAATTTTGAATTTTTTTTCTTTGGATGGATAATAAATAAATCTAAAAAAATCATATATATATATATACAAACGCACATATTTATCCTTTATTGTGTGCTTTTTTTTTGCATTTTTACTTCAATGCATGCCTATATGTCTATATTTCTATGTAGTGCTGTAACAGGATGCACAATATTTGATCACACATGTACAAACTCACTATTTTCTTTTATAATAACAATACAATCCTCACTATTTAAACACGTTTTTGCGTGCATGTATGTAACTACTCATAATAGCTAGATATTTCACAATACGAAAGGTGAATCTCTATCTCTATATATGAAACTAAAATAATGCCTGATAATATATTGAAGGAGTAAAGATTTTGAAATTTCAGAAATGCCTAAAACTTCATGCAATAGTTCTTGCATTTTTATGAATTTGTGTATTTAGATAGAAATTTACACTCATGAGCAAATAGGCAAGATTCGCACCCATTGGAAATAGGAAACTGAGAGCAATTTATTAGGAGAAATTTAAAAAAGTTTCCTATCACATCCAGTTGTACTCTAAAATAGCTATATGGATGTAAACAGGGCAATGAACTTCGATCGATAAAATAGTTCTTAAGCTTAGTATACTTCAAAAAAATCCGATAGTAACTCTTTTTTTTACATGTCAGTGTTATATGTGACACCTATTTAATATTACTATTCGTACTACTATTACCCCTTTTCATGTATATATATATATATATATATATATATATAT